CGAAGTGATATTATCTGGCCAGAGTCATCTATTGAGGGTGGAGTTGGAGATAAGTCCAATCACCTCTTTAGGCGCCAGAGTATCTGTGCTCTCGAAGTGGATGCCAGTGTAAATGGTTTGTATAAATGCAATAGTACAGTACATTTTCTTTTATTTCTTTTCCGTGATCTGATTATTTATATGTACTTTCAAGTAACAGGCATTCTCAACGAGAAATGTAAAATGTACACATCTCTTTCTCAGACTAGAGCTGAGGTTAAAATGGTCCAATCACTTGTGCCAATTTGGGAGGTCTGTTATTTTGCCTGTATGAGACAATTGGATTAAGATTTGTCTTCATTTTGATGTTCATGTTGTTTCTTTTATTTAGGAGGAATATGAACGATCAGGAATACCAGATGCAATACCTTATCCTGATTCGTGCAAGCCTACTCCTGCGAATGTTCTTGGTTGTTTCAACCATGGACTCGAATATGAAAAGGCTCTTATTGATTTATATATGAGGATAGATAAAATATTTCCTTCTCAAGTTTCTGCTATCAAAGAGGATGGGGATAAATATTCTCCCAGTTCCTGCAGTCCTTTTCAGGAGCCTTTGAAGTCTTCCACTGAAGGAAGTAACAATGCTGCTCTGCCATGTAGACCTTTTTCTCAAGATAGAGAAAATGCTACATTGTCTGAAATGTGCAGAAATGCAGAAATGGAGGTACCTGCATCATTTTGAATTTTAGTCAGTATTTCTTTGGTTTAAGTTTCACGTGAAGGTGCGTGCTGTGAGCCATGCTCTGCGAGGGTGTGTGCACGCACGCGTGTACCTGTGTTCGTATGCCTGTGTGTCAAGTACACAGCTTGTTTGACCTTCAAGTTTATATGGGAGAACAAAATATGTAAAGGTCAAGGCCTAAGCTGACTAATATTTTGCCATAGTCAATGTTTTTAGAAAGAAAAATATTAACTCTTGTAAAAATTATTTAATTTATTAATTTTTTTGTAATAGAGTTGAACAGTCAGCCTTAGACCCGGGACCAGTCTTTCAAATCCCAGTTAAAATATGCACCATGTTAGGTCCCTAGAAATTTGTGAGAGCGTAGTTTAAAGCTTTGGTCCAGTCTCCACTGTAATACTAGTTTTGACTGCATGTCTCAAATTTGTTCTCTATGCTATTTACAATTTTAGAAGTTGATATACTTCTTCTGATTGCACATTAGGTGATTTGATTCCGGCTCCTTTTTGTATAATCATTTCAGTTTGTCGTGATTAACTGTTTATTCTTCGGATTTTTGTACTTGCTAAATGTTAATATTGCAAATGCAGCTTTATCTTTTATACTAATTGATATCAATTTGGCAAGTTAATATCAGCATCATTTGTTCTATTGTAAATTTTAATTTTTTTCTTTATGCCACGAAACTGTTACTTTTATGCTATTACTATCTTATTATATTTGTTCTATGTATTTCAATTCTAGTTTTCAGCCTTCTGATAGTAATTTTTGTTTTACAGACTTTAGATGCAGAAGCCCTTGGGCTTCTAAGATGGCTTGCATCGTCGCAAGCTGCTGTAGATGTTACTGTTGATGATGACATCACTCATGAAGCAATTTTAAGTCCAATATTGTCTGCAAAATCCTACAAGGAGGCACTGGAGTTCTCGATTCTCTTGAAGGTTTTCGTGGGACTGAGGGATCAACGGGACAATTGCCCCATTCTACTGATCAAGATTTAACAATCAGTACTTCATCAGGTAACGCGATCCCTCAAGCTGATGGTTCATTTGATGATGATTTGAGTACTCATCAGAAAGGTCATCTTTCTGAAGCTAATATGACTAGTGGAAGAGATAAATATTCTGTCCGTGAGGTGGAGAGGTGCAGCAGTACAGGATCCAGCAAAAAGCAAAAAAGAAATAAGCTTTTGCGGGGCCCTCTACCTTTTTCCTTTAAACAGGAGGGGCAGAAAAGTTCTGAACCTGCTTGCTTGGCTTCTCCTTATGACCAAGATATGAAAAGTGATTGTGAATCTAGTTTTTCATCTGGGAGCAAAATGAATAGACGTTGTGACACAGCTCTGAAGACCTATGATGAAAAAGGAGAACTTGCAGCGCTAAATTCTGTTAGGGACTTGATGAGGAGAAAACGTTGCCTTCGAACTGAGCAATTAGACACTGTGGTAAAAAATATTGAGATGATGGATCTTTGTACAGAGGAACTAATACATCACAAATCTGAGTCAGAGATATGCACTGTTGTACCTCAGGAGTGTCCTACCATCAAATCATGTAGTATGGCCCAGGCTAGCAGGGTTCGAGAGAAATTATCACACAGCAAACCTTGCATTCACCCTGTACACACAGATGGAGGTCAGTCTCTGCACAGTGACCTTTGTTCACCAACAAACCAGATGTCATCAGTATCATTTTTAAGAAATCAAGCCATGCAATCAAATATGCCACCATATAAAAAGCTACATCTTCAACAAGAATCTGCCGATGGAGGTTGTGTTGGAGCTAACAATGAATCACAGGGTTTTGTGCAGAAATCTATGTCTCTTTTTGTTGAAAATTTAAATGTTGATGGTTTGGAGTTTCATAAGTTTAATAAACAATTTGCTGACGGACCACATGAGGAAAAGATGGGTATCTGTAAAAGAAATTTGACTACCATTAATGTTCAACAGCCAGTAATGCATGATACAAAAGAGCACAAGAATGACCTGGACAATGAGATTACTGAACACATAAATAGTCCATTGAATCGTGACCTCTATACATGCAATAATTTGAGCAAGCTAACAGATACAGGATACATTGAGATGACTTTTAGCACGAGACCTCCCTCTAGAGATGAGTTGGGCGATCTTTCAGGGGATTCTGCTGGGATAATGGCACATGCTGAGGACAGTGTATGCATCAATAGTGAGTCTTTAACCTTTAGTTGTCGCTTCACTGACTGTGTTTCATTCATAATTATTTTTTATTTTTTTTGTAATAGCCATCCTGTTGGAAAATGTTCTGCTAAATGTTTCCTTGTTTATCATACGGTAATGTTGCTTTGGATATAAAGAACAGATTTCTGGAATTCTGGAATGCTGAACGAGGTCTTTAAAACCATAAGTTTTCTGTTACATAGGTTTACAACGGTAGGGGGTGCACTTAGTAGAATATGTGAATTAATTACTTTTTAAATAGCTTATTAAATCAACTGGAGTACATTGGCATATTTAATCTGTTGCATACTGTGGTAGACCAACTTTGCAGCTACTAAGTGATATTTGTTTGCTTAAACTGTATGATACATTTCTATCAAGACTTGCAGCCTCAATGTTTGAGAAAATATTAGCACAGGTCAGACATCTTGTAGAAAATTCCTTAATTGACAATGCCATACAATTTTGTTCTTCTTGTATTTTGCTAGTTAACATCCATTTTGGAGATTTTGCACGCTTGCGATCTGGAAAACAGAATGAGGTGGGCTAAAATTGATCTTGATAGCTATTATACTTAACATTATCTTTCTGACACCACTGTGTATGACTTTATTGGTTCTATTACTGTAGAACGTGGCAGGATAGTTTTTGCTGAAGCTTCATGTCTTCTCTTGTAAAGGCTCCTACTTAGACATGTATTTCATTTTATCACTTTGCTCCACATTTTATTATTTATCTCACATAACTTTGTTATTGCAACTATTCCCCATGTGTCTATGTACAACCAAAGTTATTTCAATTAATTTACTGTTCCTATGCTACTAAAAAAGTGTCGTTCCCCCTGACAACTTGATGCTCTTCATCGATGTAATACAAAGGATCTAATATTGGATATTGTGCTTGTAATTAATGATGGTGAGATAAACTGATGCAACCACCAATTTTTTACCTTAATATGCCCTTAATGTTCTGTTTTTAAAAATAGTCTTTTCCCCAAAATTGTTCTTCGTAATCTAAAAATCTGAATATCGAATGCTCTTCTGGTGAAGGACAATCGACGCAATTGTTGTTTTCAACAACTTTGTGTTTTATGTATTGAATGAATTTAAAGAGTAGACAATTTTTGTTATCAATTATCCTAGATGTTTTGTTCCTATATTTCCCCTCTTTACAGTAAAAGTAGGTATTATCTAATCATCATAGCATTTAATGCTATTTGGTGTTACCCTTTTGGTTTTTTGCCCCCTACTGATACCCTTCTTCATTTAGCTGGTAGGCAATGTGAAGATGACGTTCTTCCATTTTTTTCACGGAATTTTGAAGATGGGAAGTCAATGAAATTGTTGAATGATGAAAATCTTATTTTTCATCAAGACTCTGCGCTAGGTGTCCCAATTCACTTTCAAAATGATGGTTCAGTTTTGTACTTGCTGACTCATGCATTTTTGCCGCCAACTCTGGAGTCTGTTGAGCAGTGGCTTTTGGAAGGAATGCAAGGAAATCATCTGAATCTTTCTGCAGGTATATTGTTTTTGGCAGTATGCATCAGTGGTATCTGAGTTTAAAATGTAATTTGTGGCCTAATTTTATACCTTCACAAAGGTACCTCTATAAGGGACATTCTGCAACTCATTATCAGATCCTTTCTGATCTATAAAAGTGGCTTGGAAATGAAAGGCAGAGGGTTTTATCGTGCCTTCATCTGATCGTTAAGTCTTATTTGAGAAATACTTCTATTGATGAATGAATTAAAAACTTTTGTAGGAAACGCTTGTGGTGAAGTTTCAGCGAACGCTATTGATTCTCATTGTTTGAAGCCTGACCTATCAAGTCAAGCAAGCATAGAAGTTATGGGGGCTAAGAATCATGATTCCCGAGTTGACGTCAGTTCTACTGGGAAACAAGGGACATCTCTACATTTTAAGGGAAATGTTATTAACAATGACTTTCATGATCTCTCTCAGATTTCAGGTCCATATAAAGAGGATAAATTGGGTCTCACACCGCTTAGCCAAACTGGTTTTCGTGACCCTGCAAGTATTGGTGGTGGACAGCAACTTACAGTATTAAGCATGGAGGTGCAAATTGAACTTGATTAAATTCTGATTATTTCTCATGTTGGCCTTGTTAAACCCAATACTTCTTAAAAGAGATCAACAGAGCAGTATCATCTTAAAGTGAAATGAACTTCGCAAATTGATTGTAACCCTTAATGGTAGATATGTTGACATTTTCTAATATTTTAAACTATAATTGAGAGTGTCTGAGCACAGATGTATATGTAGGGTTAGTTGCAAATAGACCCACTGTACTATAATCTAATTCCAGATAGACATCCTCTAGCTCTATTTGTGTGGGTAGACGCCCTGAGTGAACTTTTTTCACTCAGAGAAACAAATTCACTCAGGGGTTCTATCCGCACTCTGGGGCAAATAGTATAGGGGTCTATCCACACGAGTAGAACTACAAGGGGGTCTCTCTGCGATTGAGTGATAGTACAAGGGGTCTATCTATATGAATATAACCACAGGGGTCTCTCTGTAACTAGGTGATAGTACAGGGGGCTATCTGCAACTAGCCCTGTATACTATTAGTGTTTGATTATGTTATTAATAAGAAATTGATGAAAACATTAGGATGACCAATAAACTAAAACTATATGGTGGAGTCTGATAGGTGAGAAGTTGATATATGTAAGGATAGAGTTGTGAAAACAAATGTGGACTTGGGATTATCTAGGATATTTTACCTTGTATCAGGAAATTACCTTGAGACACCTTTGGAAAAATCTTAAGCTAAGGGGTTTCCACGCAGAACCATGAAAACAACTAAAGAAAATAAGGCAGCTTTTGTAAAGAGTGTAAAATCTAGAATTATCCAAAATTGGGGGGAAACAAATAAGTTGGCAAAGAATAGGCTCAAAAGGTCACATATACCTAAAATATTTATATACGACCTAAGTTATATAACTTAGGAACTCAAGTGTAATGCAAGATGTGTTATGCTTGCTAAGATATGACAAGAGAAGTGAAGATTACTGTTAAGTGCTCTAGCAATATATGAACTTACTTGGCACATTAAGGATGACTAATATGTCCATGAAATATTTATAAGTCATTATATTGTATCACTTAAAGGTAAGGAAGAAAAAAGTCTAATATAAAAATGGGGAAGAAGATTTAGAATCTAAAGATTTTAATGAAAGACACAATTGGAATATATTGAATACAATTTCAAGCAAAATTACAAGAATCAAGGATGTAAATCAATTCACGACCAGGACATGCTGAATTTGATGTCTATGATGAATCATTTATCATGATGGTAATATGGTATATTTATGGAAGATCATTGCATAGATGCCAAACAGGTGTTTGAAATAGAGTAGTTGTATCCATGAACCAATGTTACATTAAACGCTGGGCGCTTCTAGACGTCACACTTGGCGCCCAACGCTTAAACGCCTAGGCGGGCGCCTAAGCGGTTTTTGAACGTTTTTTTTCTTTTTTATTTTTTTAATTGTGATACTTGAAGATAAATATATATATACCCAATCAAAGATGCATAAATACTAAAATATCAACACTGTTAACTAAATTGCTTGGTTTACCAATTATAATAGCTCTTTGTATGTTTATACTTCTCAACTCAAATTATAAGTTCATCTCAACAATGAAAAACTCATTCTCAACTCAAAATACTGTTAACTTATAAGTTATTATCAAGTTTAAGTTAACAATAAACTCAAATTACTATTAACTTATAGGTTAATAGAGTTTGGAGGACGTGTAGGCTACGACACATAAAATCACAATGAAGTTCTATAGGGTGCAATCCACGTAAGCAGACAATGCACCCCTAAACGTTCGTAAAATCTAGGTGGGCAGCCTAAATACCGTCTAGATGTTAGGCGCTAGTTAGGCGGCCTAGGTACCGCCTAGGCCTAGGCGTACGCCTAAACGGACTAGGCGGAGGTTTTTTAAAACAGTGCCATGAACCAGGACATCGAGTGCCCGTCATAACAGCTAACCCCTGAGTACCCATAAGGAAGAAATTTGTAAAATGACGATACGACAAATCATGTGACATGGATCATAATAATGTAACTTAATAAGTATGCTGCGAGGGTATGATCTAGTACATAGGAACATAGCATATGAAATGAATGCATCTATACTAGGTTTGAGCTGACTTGAATTTAGAATAAATGATAGAATTTTTGAGGTGTCATAGAATCTGCAGAGGAGGCCGATTTGTGTGCTAGTAGAAGTGACAAGAGCGCAGTCGAGTGGGGGAAAAAGGATAATATATGACTATTGAGGAAAAAAGGATAATATTTAGATGAATGGCAGCTAGTGTGTCCCTTCGCGTATTTGTGGCATACATCCAAGCAGTCACTAGTGACCTAGGATGTTGATTATCAGGGGGAAGGTGGGGACTTGAATGTGTATCACATCAGCTACACACCAATAAAATACGTGAGAGACATACCACATCTCTCAGTAATTCTATTATTTATCAATTTAGCAGAGAAATTTGGGATACAAAAATTCTGTTCTTGTTACTCTAAATGTCTGTGCTTCCTTATGCTTCGAAGGCATCAAGTATTATGATATGGTTGCAAGTCACGATTCCTTCATCCTGTCATAGTGAAGCTGTATATTCTTCATTGTAAGTTTATTTAGCAAATCTTTTTCTACTTTTAACTTTGGTTTAGTCACTGGGTTAACAGGTGCTGGCAGAATCAAGAGGAGACCTACTACCTGACCCCAAAGTTGATGCCATCAATGTTATATCTCTTGCAATTCAGGAGGATTCAAATCATGCAATTGAAGTTCATATTCTTATGCGTTGTAACAGTGATGAACTATTTCGCAGGTGCTGAATCTGCTTCAAATATTTTTTCCAACAGTTTTATTCATGCATAGTGATTACAATAGATGGTGGCCACTTCAAAGTTCAAACATTTACCTCACTTCTATGCATGCTAGGGTTTATTACCTATGTTTGCTATCTTTTGGTAAAAAGCAATTGTTAAAATTTATCCTTCTTTTGTGCAATTGGATCTATTAATAATTCAGCTACTGATTTAGTGGCACGTCCAGAGAGCACCTGGAAATGTAGAGTTGTGGTTACTTACTTTTTCCTTACCCTTTTTTGTAATGACTTATATAATATGCATACATATTCAAATTTATTATTATTAGTATTTGTTAGGAGATTTTTTAACATAGGCCATTTTTGCTAAATATTTAGCAAAACCGACTGTATTTTGCTAAATATTTAGCAAAACGGACCTCTTTTTGGCCATCTCATCAAACTTGGCCAAAAGGAGGTCGGTTTTGCTGAATATTGTCTTCGAAACACACGAGACTAGTGTGTTTAGTGACCACTAATTGCTCACTAAACGAAACTCAGAAAACCCATGGGACTACTGTCTGGTGGGTTTTCTGAACATTTTTCAGAAAACGCACAGAAGTAGTAGTCCCGTGCGTTAGACACACACTGCCTTTGCTGCCCAGCAAATCCATGGGACTACTAGTCCCGTGATTTTGTTGGGCAGACCAAAACATGCATAAAACATGCACAGATCATACTTACATGAATATATACCTCATATACATTGCTAAGCAGTATAATCGTTATATATAAGTTATAAACATTAAGAAATAAACATAAATTAAAACACATTTAATTAATTCACAACATCACAACACAATAGATACCTGATATACATATCCATACGCCAAAATACTCCTAACAAATCGAAATGTATCAAGTATATGCAGTTACAAATAGAGTCTAAGCAGAAAAACTAATAAACTATCACATAATAACAATAACCAAGTCTTTATCCCAAATGTTTAGGGTCGGCTATATGAATCTTATTTTTTCATTCCGTTCTGTTATGAGTCATCTCCTCCGTTAAGTTAGTCTTAATCATATCCTTTTTAATTGCTTCTAACTAAGTCATTCTAGGTCTATCTCTAGATCTCCTAGCCCCATTAACTCTAATATTATCGTTTTTTCTTAATAGGTGCACTAAGGGGTCTTCGTTGTACATGACCAAACCATCTTAATCTATTCTTTCTCATTTTATCCTCAATACGTGCAACCTCTAATTTACTACGGATGCACTCATTTTTTATCCTATTTTTTAATGTATACCCACAAGAGCATCATAACATTTTCATTTCTGCTATACTTATTTTTGAACATGTTCTTTTTTAATTTGCTCAACACTCTGACCCATAAAGCATAGTTGGTCTTATAACTGTCATATAAATTTTTTCTTTAGTTTCATTGGTGTTTTACGATTACATAAAACTTCCAAAGTATTCCTCAATCTCAACCATTTCGATTTGCTTCGATGCACAACATCATCCTTTATCTCACCTTCATGCCTAATGATTGATTCTAAATAGCGAAAATGATTAGTTTTAGATATTTCTTGACCATTAATATGTACCATAGGTTCTCTTCCTTTCCTAGATACTAAAGATGCACTTCATATATTTTGTTTTTATTCTACTAATTCTAAAATCTTTAGATTCAAGAGCTTGTCTCCATCTTTCTACTTTAGAAATAATACCTCTTCTAGTTTTATCAACTAATGTATATCATCGGCAAGTAACATATACCATAGGATTCCATCCTAAATGTGCTTAGTAAGTTGATCTATAACTAATGTAAAAATAAGGACTTAAAGTTAACCATTGGTGTAAATCTATGATAATAGGAAATGGTTTAGTCTCTCCTTCATTAATTCTTACTCTAGTTGTAACACTATCATACATATCTTTAATAAACTATCACATACAACCTAAAAGTCCGCCCCTCCCATGTTGTCTCCCTCTTCGTACCCGCTCTAATCGTCGACGTCCTCCTTCGTCTTGAGCTTGTATGTGCTCACTCTACGGTTGCATGTGGGGCTGAGACAGACCAGCTTTATTGTCATGCGAGCAAGATCCATCGATGTCTTCATCGGTGTACATATACCCTCTCCTTAAGCGCCATCTATTCGTGACCATCATGCTGATCCTCATGAGCTTGATGAAGAGCTCTACGAACTCTCTGCACTATCCGCTGCAAGACCGATACATGTACCGGATCTCCTCGGACAGTAGCTATGCCCTTATTTACAATCCCCTCTATCACATCCATAGCGTCTATCTGCAATCCCCTTTATCTCGTACATGCTTCATTGTCATGGAAGCATAGTGTATATACATGCACATATAATTATCAACTTATTAGTTCCTACAGAATCAATAAGACTATAATTTATGAAAAATAGAGATAGAAAGCTTATTACTAATTAATTGTTGTGTACTTGTTCTTGATGGACAAGGAGACCTATTATGACTTAATTGATTACATTTTCCACATTTAATTCGCGATGCTACTCCTTCCCAGCCTTGATCTATGGTACCTCTAATGCGCACAAAGCGAGGCCATCCCGCTTGTCTTTTGTACTGAAGTGGTAATAGACATGATTCATTATAAGTCGGCCAATAATGACTATCATCGGAGGATAAAAACTCTCCTTGTAAGCCGTTTGGTAATGATTCATTGAATACCAAGCAGAGCAATACTGATCAAAAGATAATCTAGCGCCATCATCCTAATTGGAACTAGCCGTTAAAACATGTTCACATTGTAATGTTTATAATTGTGGTATATTACAAATACAAATGTACTCCTGGTCAAAGAGATAAACGGTGTAAGTACCTTCAAAATCTTTAACCTTACATTCATTGTCGTTGAATAGAGTAATTCTACATAATCTTACAACCGCAATCCTTTTATGCAGAATACTCTCATTTTTTTGGATGTAACTCATCCAACTTGCACCATCACCACGTCTCTTAATAAAATATGCATTTAATCTATAAAACGTCTTTGCAACCAAGGCTTGAATTGGCATAGCTCGGGCACCTTTGAGTATGCCATTGAAACTTTCAGAGCAATTAATTGTCATCATACAATAGCGCACTCCACCATCTCTACATAATGCGTATTGATTTTCGTATTGTGGCTTCAAGTTTTGTTCAATCCAACTGTGTGCTTTAACTGATCGGGACTTATAATTTTCTCCCTACAATGCTCATATATCAGTGTGTCGACTGCACACCCAGCTTGTCACAATAGATTTTATAAATTGACATCTCCGTGTTTTTTCTTAAAATTATCTCTTATATGCCTCAAACAATACCAATGATGATGTGGTGCTCCAAACCCCTCGTACAAGGCCCGTGGAATTCCTTTCATCCTGTTAAAAATAAAAGTAATCATTCTAGGATTTTAAACAGTAGGGATGAATCTGTAAATACATTAAAAAATCACTTCCAACTTGATGTGTTCTACACCTCAACAACTATGAAACTTAATGGAAAGAGCCTACCATTTGCGTCTATACTGGTCGCAACCAAGAGCACTCCTTTGTACTAGTCATATAAATGAGTGCTATTGATGCACAAGAACGGACGACAAAATGAGAACCCTTATGATCGACATTGACAATCAGATTGCAACATGTATGGAACGAACTTTGGGGAAGATCTCAATTTGGGTTTTGGAAAGAATGAGTTTGGAGGGAATAAGAGAGAATTGAGGGAGAAAGAGGTGATTTGAGAGAGAATCAATGGATTAGGGGAGAAAGTTGAGGGAGAAAGAGGTGATTTGGGAGAGAATCAATTGAATGATGGAAAGAGATTGAGGGAGAGAGATTGGGGGAGAGATTTGGTGAGGGTTTATCAAATTTGGGAGAGGGATTGGGAGAGGATTTATCAAATTCAGGAGAGGGATGGGGAGAGAGGTTGAGAGAACGTGAAGATGTTTGTGTCGTAATTTTTGGGCACAGCTGGGGGTTATATAGGCCCGACAAATTCACGGGACTACTAGTCTCATGGATTTGTTGGGTAGCAAAGACGAAGTCTCTGTCTAATGCACGGGACTATTAGTCGCGTGTGTTTTTTGAAAAGTATTTAGAAAATTCACGAGACTAATAATCTCGTGGGTTTTCTGAGTTACGTTTAGTGGGCGATTAGCAGCCACTAAACACATAAGACTAGTAGTCCCGTGTGTTTGGAAGTCCAGATTCAGCAAAATCGACCTCTCTGTGGCCAGCTTTGATGAGCTGGCTAAAAAGAGGTTGGTTTTGTTAAATATTTAGCAAAATGGTCGGTTTTGCTAAATATTTAGCAAAAGTGGCCAATTTAAAAAAATCTCCTCATTATCATTTATCATCTCGGATGCTCAAATAATCAAGTGCAGGGTCATGGATGGATGGTTAATGGTTTTTGCAGTTAACTCCAAAATTTATGAACTGTTCATACTAGTTGACTGATAGTTTTCTTATATCAGGGAGTGAGTGACTAAATTATGTGTTCATTCCAGATGTAGTCTGTGGAGGAAGCAAAATAAATATTTACTGAATGATGAAGGCTACATTAGTTGAAGTTTTGTTTTTTCCTGAATGGTTTTTTTATTGTACTTATAATCAGCTTAGTGTACATTGGTAGTTCACTGACATGGACAAGCATGAGTAGGCATGGGTTTGCTGTTAATATCACCTTAAATTTAGTTAAGCAGCATAGCTTGAAATAATGAATTTGAGGCAAATAGTGACATAGAGTTGTCATTCATAAACAAAATGTTCAAGACTAGTTTTATGTATACACATAACTTTCATGATTGTTGGATCATGGTTTTTGATGATATGTGTCTTGATATCCTTCAATAATGTTGTATAAATTAGCGTTCCAACTAACAAATAAGAAAAATTTATCTGGCAGTTAGACCAGCAAACATGTGAGATATGGATTTAATGAATACATTGAAATAACTATAGATACTGTCATGATTGTTTGCATCGTGGTTCTTGATGATGTGTGAATCATTAAGTCTTCAATCTGATTGTTCATGAATGTTCTGGTTGCCTAAGGATACTCCACCACATCTCAATATTCACACATGATTTAGTAATTTACTTTCTACATGCAAGGCATTTCAATTTAGGAAACATAGAACGAGTGCTTCATAAAAATGCAGGTTCTTTATATCTTCTATAATTCCCTTGTTGGTTTACACAGACATGTTGATGGAGTTTCCAATTGCCAGTTTAGTAGCTTCAATGATGAAAAGCTCTTGTTGGACCACTTTGTGGGGATGATTACTTCGTTTGACCCAGATATTCTAATGGGCTGGGAAATTCAAGGTGGCTCTCTTGGTTTTCTTGCTGAAAGAGCAGCACATCTTGGTGTAAATTTACTTAAGAAAATATCTCGCGTACCTTCCCATGAAACAAAATTCAAAGCCAGTGATTTGGCTAACCCTGAACCGAGTAATGAACAGAATATGATGTTAGTTTCTGATACTGTTCCTGATGTTTCAATAATTGAAGATGAATGGGGTCGCACGCATGCCAGTGGCATACATGTAACTGGAAGGATTGTGCTTAATATTTGGCGGTTGATGAGGGCTGAGCTAAATCTTAACATGTATAGTGTCGAAGCTGTGGCTGAGGAAGTTCTGAGGCGTAAGATTCCATCAATTTCAAGTCAAGTGCTGAAAAATTGGTTCTTAAGTGGTCCAGGCCGAGCAAGATATCGATGTATTGAATATGTCATAGAGAGGGCCAAACTTAATCTTGAGATAATGAATCAGCTGGACATGGTATTCCATCTTACCGCATAAATAATGCCTGCAATTTCTTTACGTGCATCATCTTGCTGGTTTATCTACGGTATATTGTTACAATATGGTTCTTATATTGTATTGGTGTGCATACAACCTGTTTATTTCTTCTTCATACTCTTCTTTGGATCTGAACCTTTTACATATTTATATAATGCAAATGTGAAACTGGGATATGACGACCTATATTGCTATCTCCACAAGCTTATATTCGGATATATATCAGACATATACCTTGCCTTTTTATTAATAATGTAAGATTAAAAAAAATGAAATTAAACAAAGTATGTGATGTATTAGCTTTGTCAGCAACCACTTAAGCAGAAGCATCAGCTGATTGGTTCTAAACTAACAATATATTTCAGGCAAATTTAATAGATTAATCTTCCCTTTATGTGGTATTTTAGGTAACATGGAGATGCTTTGCAGCAGAAACGTAACTCGCTTCAATAGATAGAGTAAATGAGGGTGGGTGAGTAATGGTGCGGTCCATATATAAGCATATTTCCTATTGCAAATGCCAAGGCTTTTGAACCCAGAACCTCCTGAAAATTGGTGTTTTGATCCCATGTCAAAATCACTTTGTTAAAAATCTTAAGCTGATGGGTCGAGAGAAACCACATATGTCATAACCCTACATGTGTACTCTTGAGCTAAGTAAATCCATTGGTTTTTTTTATGGGTGATTATGTAGTTTGTGAGTTGGGGATCTTGAACTTTACTCATTTTAATTCACCTTTCATGCGATGGATATGGATATTTTCTATGTTTGGTATGAGTTTGTTGATGATTTTAATTTTTAGTCATGAAGACTATGTTTATGTTGTGTCTTTATGTATAGATCTGCTGGAAATGATATATTTATGGATTTTGGGGTATTCTATTGTTGTTAAACTGCGTTTTAGTTGATAGCAGAATGAACTTAAATCGTAATTTGCTAATTAATGTGGCTTGTGCTCTTTTCATTTCTTTTGCAGATTAATCGAACGTCTGAGCTCGCTCGGGTTTTTGGCATCGACTTCTTCTCTGTTCTTTCTAGAGGGTCGCAGTTTCGTGTTGAATCTATGCTCTTAAGGTTGGCTCATACACAAAATTATCTTGCTATATCACCGGGAAATCAGCAGGTTTATTGCTTACCTCATGAGCTTTAAATTATTATGTTATATTTTAAATATTGGTGATAGCATTTACCTTTCTTTTACTGTTTGGAAATGCCTTTTCTTTTATTCTATTTGTGGATTCTTGAGACAGTTGTAATGACTGACCAAGCATGTATAGATCATCTTTACAAGTATTAACTATTTAAGTATATGCCATGGGACGCTAGTGGTATACAGCTTAGAGGTGCAAACACATTGAAACGAAAGAACGCATAATCTCATAATATAATAGCATGCGACATTTTACACAACGACACTAAAACAGAAACAACCACAACACATTTAGAAAAATATAGTACTTGCACATTGGTGTCTCTGGCTCTGATTTCTCAACGGCCAAACCTTAGATATGATGCTGTTATGATAGGTTACCAAATATAGATTCACCCCTAAGGCTGGAAAATATGTACTTTTTTAAAGAAAGAATAGGATATTGTGGAGCACCATAATAAAGTGGTGACAAGAGGAGCAAAAGACACTCAACGGACATTCTTGGAATTAAAATTTCTTGATAACTAGAAATCTCCAGAATTGAAAACAAGTAAATTTACCTACTTATGCTGAAAGAAGACACATTCAATTATCAACTGCCCCTTCATTAGCTCTTGTAAAATGATAAAGGGAACACACTGGATTTTTGTTGTTGTGACTTCCTTTGGCTGACTGATGCCTTGTTCATGGTCGTTGCACCCAATCTAGAAGCAAGACCTTTTCTGTTATCATTTTCCTGTTTTAAGGATACATCAATGTTGAATAAAACTTTCCAGGTATAGTGGATATCTTGCTTCATAAGTTGAGTCATTTGGACCTGTGCAGAAAATATCTTCAACTTTTTTTAGGACTGTCCATTCTCGGCCTGGCTTTTGCATGGCCTCTCCTTGGATTGACCTGAGAAAGAGTCACATAGCCCCCTCTTGGATTGGCCAACTTAAGCACTCTAGTTGCAAACTCATATGGCCAAAAGAAAACTAAGTAGTATACATTTTGACTAATTTTCCGTTCGAGGTAGACATTTATTATTCCACTTTCTATGCAATAGCTAAATGTATCTCAGTTTTATCTGGTAGAAAATTTAACAAA